GGGCATCGCGACCTCGATGGCGGTGGCGGCGCTTAAGCCGACTCCTCGCGATTGTGCACACGTTCACCGACTTGTGGGAGATGGTTAGATTTCCGAGGAAGGGAGATTCAATAAAAGAAATCGACGACGCTCCCATGGCCGATGCCCCCTCGTGTTGCGCTCTCTCCACCCCCCCCCTCCTCCAGTCGTCGTCTCACTCTCACCGTTCACCGCCACCCTCGCGACGCGGTGACTTAACGAACGATGGTTCTCGATGACCATGCCCTCTCCTCGCTACAATGTGCACGAGCACGAGCTACTTGCATAATTCGTGCTTTCTTTTCGGCACTCTCGACATCTCGCTAACGACGATACCGTGGATTTTCGTTTAAACCATGCGACATCTGCGTGAGAAATACGACGGGAAAAGGTGCCGTAATAACGCGCGAGATGTATGCTACGGTATACCTCCAGGTTTTTTTTTGTTTTTTTTTTTTCCCGAATATATCATCAGTGTCTATATGGCGAAGATCTTTCAATTTTCACATGTATTTTTTTTTATAAACTTTTTTCTTATCGGTTGAGTCCGCGATTCATTCATCATGCAACCAGCGATTGGCATCGTGATTGAGAAGTTTCTTTCTTGCTTCGTGACTCCTCGGTCGGCCCAATAAGCGCGCGGATTTTAATAGGAAGAGACACGCTCGGTCGAGCTGTCGGGGAGCCGATTCGCGAGCGCCGGACATGTGAACGCTAACGAGTTCATTTGACGCGCGTTGCGACGTTAAGCTCGGAATGCGCGGCGCGGCGGTTATTGCTGGTCGGCTTAACGGATCCCGCACGCGCGTTCCGGACACGGAGATCTCGGAGCCAGCAGCGCCGAGTCGATCGCGAGGCCGGAAAAAGAGGAGAAGACGGAGGAGATGGAGGAGGCGGATAAAGGGCGCTGCTGCGGTATAGAGAAAGGGAAGGACAAAAAAAAGAGCGACGGCAGTCAACGACGACCACGACGACGACGAACAACGACGACGACGACGACGACGACAGAGGCGATGGGGGACCGCGAGGGAAGTAGTCGGAAAGAGAGCAAGAGAGACCCGATTTAATACTCGAACGAGCCAGCAGCTCGTTTTACACCAGATGGTTTTACATACGGCCACTATCGTGTTACGGACCTTCAGCCGTATGGGTGCATCCGTATCTTCGTCGGCACGAGATCCGAGCGCCTTCGTACGCAAATGCACACGCGTACCCGCGCGTACCCGGCGCTTCTGCCCGTCGATTTTACCGCCGATATCCGGACGGGGATGCCTTTGACGCGGAATATTATCGATATTATTCGTCTTTGTCAGACGCCTTTTTCACGCGACCGGCTCGCTCCTATCATAGAGAGTCATCGTCATCGTCGTAAGTCCTAAAAAGAGCGCGACGCGCAGACATGCCGGAGATCTGGAAACGTTTATTTATCTTCTCTCTCTTTTGTCGTCACGCCACGATTCGGGTTTTGTAAACGTGCTGATGTATATCGTGAGACACGTACGTAGATTTTTACTCGCTCGCGATGACGCGATCGGCGCAAACATAAGGTTTTATTAAAAGGATAGCTCTGCTCGAGCTCATTGCGCGCTAGGTGGTGTTTAGCGTTGGCAGAATACATGACGGATATGATAAAATGAGAACTGCCCGAAGGTGATTTGACGAGCGTTGATTTATCGAGTGTACATGTTCAAGAAAGATTATCAATAATATCTATTATTCTTTTTCCGTGATCTTTTTAATTTTAAATTATTTTAGGTTTTTTTGACGTAAGAAACATTCTCTTGCGTGGCTCAACGTGTCGTTTTCCCCTCAAATCAAAAGAATAATAGCGACAAGAAAGATCCTGCTTTAAAAAAAAAATATTAATATACTAACAATCCCGTCTTTTTTTTTTTATTAAAATTAATTGTCTATTAAATTAAAAATTAATTGTGTGTTATTCTCATTTAACGTTCAAATACTCGTTATGTACGAAGGGAATAAGCACATTTCGCAGCCAAGAAAGAAAGATGGAAAGACCCCTATCTCTCTTTTTCTCATTATCGCCGGTAAGTTACATGCTGTACGAAGGACAATATGAGCCTGCTGAGGTCTCGGCTTGCGAGGAGTTAGCGAGGCAGCGAGGCTACTATCTTCGATCCTCGACGAGATAAGAGGAGGAACCGTGGCGGGACCAACGGCGAAGATTATGTGTGGTGCATCGTGGTGTCTGGCGCGCGGACCCCACGAGGCCCCCCCCCCCACCTCCCACCTCCCTCGATTAAAAGGCTCCTCGAGCGCGGAATATAAAGAGGGGATTGAGTTGTAGCCGCGAGTGGAGGATCTTATGTAGATTCCTTGTAGATCGTGCACCCGATTCGATCGCGATCGGTTCTCTGTGTCCGGTACCGGGTTAATTAAAATTGTAGGAGCCCCAACGTCTCTCTCGATTTCTGTCTCTCTTCTTCTCTCCTTTCCCTCTTCGAAACTTCTGTCCCGTGCCACTGCCTCTTTGTTGCCTTTCTACTATCTTTCTCTCTCTCTCTCTCTCTCTCTTTTTCTCTTTCTCTCTCCGTTCGTTCTATTCTCCGCCACTTTCCTCGACGCCACGAGCGACGTCTCTCCGTTTTCTTTGTATCTCGTGGGCCTCTTCCTTTTCTCTCCGTTCTCTCCCCCCGTTCTTTTCCCCGCTCCCCACGCACGCATGCTCCGACGCTGCAACCTGCATGCCTGGCGACCGCATCTCGCTACGTAAACTCCTGCGATTTTCGGCCGCCGCTGCTTGGGAGGCTGCTCACGTGAAATCCTATTACCGCGAGCGACGATGCGGCACGGCGGCGGGGCGGGGCGGAGCGGGGCGGGACGGGACGGGACGTGGCCGCCGGTACCAGCGATCCGAGTAGGTGTCTGCGTTACGAATGGAACGCGAATTACCGACGCCGCTGTCGTGGTACATAGAGATACAAACGAGACGAGATCGTTTCCCGCGCTGATCGGTACGGC